GCTGTCCGGCGCGCAGCTCTCTGCGCACCTGCGCGCCGTAAGCCCGGTACTGGCCCAGCACGGCGCTGGCGCGCCGGAGGCCCCGCAGCGCCCGGAAGGCCTGGAGCTTGTGCTGCAGCACGGCCTCCGCGCTGCTCGCGTTGTAGGGCAGCTCCATGGCCACCAGGGTGAGCACCTCCGTCAGGTGGTTCTGCAGCACGTCGCGGATGACGCCGTACTCCTCGTAGAAGCTGGTGCGACCTGAGCGGGAGGAGGGGGAGGGGAGTGGGCGTGAAGGGCGGGCACCACGTCCAGGTTCCCCGGGGTGCACGGAGACCCCACCCCGCGCAACCTGTCTGCATCCTTCATTCCCCGGTGCAGACGGCCGACAGAAATGATTGACGAGGAGCAAACCGCCACAACAGCACGAGGGAGGGCGGCTCTGAGCCACCCGCCCTCCAGGGGGTCTCCGGGAATGGCGTGGGGAAGGCCCCGGTCCCAGCAGAGGACAGACAGACGGCGCTCACAGATATCTGCCCGGCTGTGGCCCTGCCTGGGCTCCAGCCAGCAGGGGTGGCGCTGCGGAGGCAGCAGCACCCCGGTGAGGGCCGGGGCTCTGGGGCCTGACAGCCACAGACTTTCGAGTCCCTGTTTCTGTATCCTGCCATTAAACAGGACTGACAACCGCCACCCACATGCCACTCAATGTGCCAGCAATGAGGACACAGACAGGTCCTTGCCCTCTGCTTCCAGGGAGGGTAGATGGGAAGGAGAAAAAAGTAACTCAACCAAGAAATGATAGACTGAGATTGTCACAAAGAGTATTGGGAAGGCCCCTCAGACCGGAAGAGTCCGCCCTACACAAAGCAAGGGAGAGAGCATTCCCAGAGCGAAACCCTAAAGCGGACAGAGCTTGGCTGCTCGGGTTCTGGAAGGTGAACAGGAGGGAGCAGACAGGAGGCCTGGATTCTGAAGGGCAGACATCGAGAACAGATGGAAAGAGCCTTGGAAATTAGACGGAGGAGTCTGAGAGGCTATTAAAAGTTCTTGACCCCAATCAGTGAAGCGGAGTTAACAGCGGTTCCACTCCCACGTGCACCAGAGAGAAATGAAAACGTGTCCCCACAAAAACCCGTGCCGAACACTCAGAGCCACATGATTCACAGTGGCCAAAAAAGAGCAACAAACCAAATGTGCATCAACCGATGGATAAAATGAGGTCTATCTATGGAATGGAATATTACTCAGCCATGAAAAGGGACAGCCCTGACACTATAACTGGATGAACCTTGAGAACATCAGGCTAAATGAAATAAGCCGAACACAAAAGGCCACCAGTCATATGATTCCATTTATATAAAACGTCCGGAAGAGGCAAATCCATAGAGACAGGAAGTAGATGAATGGCTGCCCGGGGCTTGGGAGACGGTGGAATCAGAGGATGCCACTAGGGGGCACAGGGCCCCTTTTGGGGATGATGCAAATATTTTAAAATCAATTGTGGTGATGGATACACAACTCTATGAATATACTAAAACTCATGGAATTGTATTCTTTAAATGGGTGAATTGTGTGATTGGTGATCGTGTCTCAATAACCCACCCCCCTTTTTTTTGTGTTAGAGCAGGGAATTTGGAGACACGAAAGAGGGGCCGAGGGAAGATTGCGCTGCCTCGGATCTGAGAGATGCGCCCTCCGGGAGGGGCTGGGTCATAGACCCCACCAGGCAGCATTTGCTCTAGTCAAAGGAAGTAACGAGGGCCAGATCGAAGCAACAGTGAAATGCAGAGACAGTATGCAGTGGGTGGGTGAAAACTGTGTGGCGGTGGGCTGGGCGGGTGAGAGGCAGTTCAGAGTCGTGATCTGGGGTGTGGTCTCTGGAGCCAGGCTGCCTGGGTACCTGCTCTGCCTGCCATCTCTTAGCCCTGTGACCCCAAAGGAATTGTCACAGGACCTCCCTGTAGGGCCACTGTAAGGATTAATGAGTTCACACACATACGGGGCTTGGAACAGTGCCTGGCACACAGGAAGCCCTGATAAACACTGGCTAGTATTTTTATTGTTACAGGGGCGTGGGCAGCTCATTTAGAAATAAAGAAGTTAGAAAAAGGAGTTGGTATTTCATGAGGACAATGCGATGGCGGTTTCGGTTCTAAATCTTCTGCACGTGAAGTGGTGATGTGACAGCCAGGGACTGTATCGAAAAGGCAGCGGGAGGAATAAGATGGGGCTCGGAGAGGCCATGGAGGCTGGAGCTTTCCTGGGTTTCATCAAAGCAAAACGCCATCCGTGGTGAAAGCATCGCTGTTTTATAACCCCGAGGAAGAAACAGCCTGCCAGCTCAGCTATGTCACCCCATCAATGGGAAACCCAACTTCAGAGCTGTTTACCTATGAGGAAGGTGGGTCTTAGAGTCAATGAATCACAGTAGATATCAGAGCATAAATAGAATAGCTCGAGTTTTGAGAACAGGTAAAGTTTTGATGGTGAGAACAAAACAGAGTCCTTAAAAGCCCTGTTATCTGCTTTACTATTCATTAGTTTAGCAAATCCCGAAGTGGCTCTTTTCCTATTTTTATCCTCACTCGGTCTGTGGGGAGAATGTATTTCTTAGGTTCACTGCCCGCTGTGTGAAAGAGAGCTTCTTTTATTCCTTAATTTCAAGCTTCAGGGGGTGTGCCGGGTTTAGCTCAGCCCACAGATTTGTGGACTTTGATCCTTCCCCAGCTACCTCTGCAGCGACCAGAACCGAGCCAGGCACCTCCCGGCAGGAGGCCGTGCAGCCGAGCTCGAGGAGAGGAGGTCGGGGTGGGGCTAGCCCTCCTGATGACGCCCGACGAGCCCTTTGGTTTCCTTTTTCCTAGTTATGACCAGTTATTGTAGAAAAAAAGCACAGCCAGGATGAACGACTGGGAGAAAGGCTCTCCTGCACTGACTCGGCTTGCGGCCTGTCTCGGTCCCGAGCTCGTCAGAGATCACAATCAGGGGAGACCCACTCAGTCGTGCCGCCCCTCGAAACTTCGTGGGGAATGTGCCCCGGAGGCAAAAGAAATCCAACGGGACAAAACAACAGCTATCGAGTGGCCTTTGCCCTCCGGCCTAGTAATTCCGCTTTGGAAGTATGCTCAAAGGAAAAACACGTTTTAATACTCCTCAATGTTCTAGAAGTAGATAGGGGTTGCGCAAATGTGTGACTCTATTAGAAACTTCTGAATTGTCCACTATAAAGGGGTAAACTTTATGGCCTGTGAATTATATCGCGATTTTTTAAAAAGCTCACAAAGTCCTATTTAAAATAGCAAAAAACCGAAATGCCTAATGATAGAACAATTCGTATTTGGTGGTATAAACAAAACTGAACAGAAATCTAGAGCTGCCTCAAGGTACGTATTATGCGGATTGTCAATACGTGAAAATTTACATCTGTAAGTGAGAGAGAAAGAGACAGGTGATGTTTGGGGAGAAATGGTCACAAAGACTATCACAGACCAACTGTGGGCTTCTGTATAATCCAGCACGGGTCACAGGTAAGTCATGTGGAGCCCAGGACGACAGAGCCCACGGCCGCTTCCTGTCCTGGGCATCTTGGAAGGGAACAGCGTTTCCACGTGTGAAGGGTTTCCATGTACATTATCTGATTTAATTCTCAAAACAACCCTGAGGTAGTGACCGGGGTTATTGTCACTATGTGATAGAGACGGTACTGGAAACCACAGCCTTCAGAACCGGGACCAAACGCCCCCTCCCCTTTGCCTCCACACTGTGGGAGATCGAATTTTCCCAGTGAAAACACAGATTTAAAAAAAATAAATAAATAAGCCGGCTGCGATGCCTTCCGATACTTTCTGGGACCACTGAAAATAAAAGGGACAGAGCAGAGCTGCCGCCTGGCGGACTCTGGTCAGGGAGCCTGGCAGCTGCCCTGAGCCCTGAGCTTACCCTGCCACAGCCCTGCCCTGCGGGCGCGGAGGGGCCACCCTGCCAGGCGAGCTCCCAGCCCCTGCTGGCACACCTGCCAAAGGCAGGACAGCTGGTGTGCACCTGGGAGGACCCTGTGGCCTCCGCCCCTTGGTGAGAGGCACTGATCGGTCCCTCCAGCCCTCAGAAGTGAGCCTGCATCACACCCCTTCCCCCCACCCCCGTGTCGGCACAGGGGCCCTCCAAGCCGAACTTCAGTCTGTCAGTCACCCAGCCCTCTTTCCGGCAGAGCTTTTCCCAGCGGCCACGATGACAGGGGGCCAGCAGGGGTCATCTCCCAGGAGCTAAGTGGCCCAGCCAAGGTCACTCTTTGTACTGCCCATGGTGCTGTTTCAGGAGACCCCAGCCTGGGCACCCCGGTTCCTGTGACTCTCAGGGGCTCACTGGATGGGGACGCCTCGGGGGGCACCCAGATGAGACTGAGGGGGAGCTGGGGCCGGGCGGAGGGAGGACTGCCTCCTCCTCTCCTCCTCCCCCGTCCCTCTCTCTCCCTCCTGTCTCTGCAGCAGCCTCGACTCTGCAGCAAACTCCTCTGGGCCAGAGGCTGCGGCAGAAACGCAGCAAACAAGCTCTCACGCAGCCGTGGACGGAGGGGGCTGGGGAAGCGGCCTCCACCCACTGGGATGGCGTGAGTGCAGGTGGGGGACATGCAAACGACCTTGCAGCTCCCGAGTCCCCTGCTCAGGGCCTGCAGCAGCTGGGACCGGGAAAGCTCCATTTCCTATGCCCTGCTTGCAGCCCCTGCCCCTTCCAGCACTCGGGGCGGCGGGCTTGGCTGCTGCCAGGGACCAGGTCGCACTAGTGCCTCCCTGTGAAAGAATCAGAGGGGACAGCCAGGACCACAGGGGGGAGGAGGAGGCAGCTGGGGGCAGCACCTGCCGGCCTGAGGAAGTGGCTAGGTGGCGGGAGGAAGGCCGGCTGTGGCCCCTGGGCTTAACAGTCGGAATGCTGGGCTCTGCATCCTGCCTCAGGACCTTCCTGGCCACCTCGGTGCCACTGCAGCGGGCACAGCGACCTCCAGCAGGAGGCCAGTCCTTCCTCCTGCCTGCTTCCCACCCCGACCGGGGAGAAGGCAAGCAGGGCCCTGAGGTGCTGCGCACGGGGCTCGCTGGCCACGGTGGGCTGGCTGTGGGGTCCACGGCTCCTGTCCTCTCTCTCCAGCCTGCACTGGAGTCGACAGCAGCCCCCCCGAGGGACGGGCTCCAAAGCGGGACACGGAGGGGACAGGAGGGACCACTGCTCGGGCCACTTCCTTGGGAAGTGACGAAGCCTTGTCCTTCTGGTTGGAGGAGGGGTGCACATTCATGCCCAAGGCCCCACTTGCTGTGGGGATGAGCAGGAAGTCACCCTTGTACGCCCTGCTCTGGGCCTGAATACGCAATGGGCAGGTAAGCAGGCTGGCCAGGGAGACCCGACCCCCAGGACAGCTGCAGTCCTGCTGGTCACCCCTGACAGGGACAGTAGGCTGAGCCAGCCCCCCGACTGCATCCTTACTGGCTGCAAGCCCCTTGGGGCCAGCGGGTCCCCGGCCGCCTGCCCTGCCCTGCATCTCTCTTTGCCTTTGGGCTGAAGGCACAGTGAGCACCTGAGTGAAGCAGCAGTGAGCTCAGGGGCTGGGCAGCAGCGAGACCCCTCAGAACCCGCACCCCACAGACAGTCAGGCCTGTGCTTTGGTCCCACAGCACCCTCCCCTGGGACTTCTGCTTTGGGGCTGCTGTTCAAACTGGAGACACCCCCACCCCACCCGCAGCCCCTGCCCCAGGACGAAGACTGGCCCAGGCCCCTGCCTCTCCGTCCTGCCTGCTGTTCGCCGTTCTCCAAAATCTAAAAGGCCCTTTGCTGCACTTTGCCTAGCCCCAGGCTGCAGGGGGTGCCGCGAAGAAACCCACAACGACACCAGATGCCAGAAGGAAACGGGGTGCAGAGGGCCGCAAGAAACGAGGCGACGGTGCCAGTGGGTACCCACAGATGTCGCGGCTCTTCCCAATCCAGGGTGCAC